CCCCGACCCCAGAGCCGAGGTCCCAGGAGGGGGCGACCCTGCCTCCCTCGCCTCCCTCCCTCCCCTGGTGTTCCCTGTGCGCTAGGCCTGAAGGGAAAGCCGGTTCACTCACATCCCAGGACAGCCCTCCGGGGACGCTGGTCTGGAGGCCACCACCGGCCTGGGTCCCGTCTGCAGTGTCAGCTGCCAGGCCCAGCCCTCGCGTGACTCCTCTTCTCCCGCTGCAGGCCTCTTGGGGCCGCCAGGACCCCGCGGGCTTCCTGGAGAGATGGGGCGCCCGGGCCCCCCCGGCCCCCCCGGCCCAGCAGGCAGCCCAGGCTTCCCTCCGAACGGCCCCCAGGGTGTCCTCTACTCCCTACAGTCGCCGACAGACAAGGACGGTGAGTGCCACTGAGGGGCGGGCCCCGGGGACGCAGACCCTCAGTGAGCAGGGCCCCGGCTCTGGAGCCAGGCTCTGCCGGGTGGGGCAGAAGGGCCTCTGGGGGGGCCGATGCGGGTCCCCCAACCCAGCTCTTGGCCCCAGCCTGGCCTGTCCCTGCTCTGGTGCTCAGCTGCTGCCCCTGGGGTCCTGACGCCCACCGAGTCTCTGTTGTCTGCCCTGGCCTCAGTTTCCCCATTTGGTGAGAGCAGCGCCCCCGAGGTCACCGCTGCTGCGTCTCCTGGAAAATCGTCTCACCGTATGCAGGCCACGTGACAAGTATTGGTTGAGCACCTACTGTGTGTCCTGCACACTCACTGGGGATGCAGCAGTGAACAAAACAGTCTCCTGCCCCCGGGGGGCACAGTCTGCTGTTTCTGAACCCGGAAACCTCCGCCTACCTATGGGAAGGGTGGGGTCAGGGAGGCCCGGAGAGTGGGGTGAGGGCATCACAGGGGTATCTTTCGGTTAAATGCCCTGGGAAACCTGGGGAGGGTTTTAAGAAGCTAGTGACAGTGTTAAGTGACATCCTGGGCGCGATGGGGGATGGGGACCTCTTGTCTTGGTCAGAGAAACCCAAGCCCCCTCCGGCTGGTGCTCCTGTCCCCCCTCAGGCAGCACAGCCCTTAACCTGAGCTTTATTATTATTTTTTTAGATTTTTTAAAATGTTTATTCATTTTTGAGAGGGGGGGGAGTGAGAGAGAGAGAGAATGAGCGGTGAAAGGGGAGAGAGAGAGGGAGACAGAATCTGAAGCAGGCTCTCGGCTATGAGCTGTTAGCACAGAGTCTGATGTGGGGCTCGAACCTATGAACCGCGAGATCAAGACCTGAGCCGAAGTTGGACGCTTAACCGAATGAACCACCCAGGTGTCCCTAACCTGAGCGTTAAAACCTAGGCCTGAATCCCACTGTCCCCGTCGGAGCCTCACTTTCCCCACTTGTAGAGTAGGGGGTGGGTATTAGTCCCCGTTGGAGTTGCTCTGGTGGGAGGAAGCGACTCAGCCTTGCAGAATGGGGGTCCTGGGCTGCACTCAGTGGGTGCAGGGGCCCAGCCAGGCGAGAACAGAACCTTCTGGAGCAAGTGGGAACTCACTGAAGACTCAGGGAGGGGGCCGGTGCCACCCGTGCGGTGCTCTGGGGGGCTCAAGGCTCAGCGCCCACCCCTGAGCCACGTGGAGCCATCCCAAGGCTCCCGCCTGCCTTGGTCTGGGCCAGACGCCTCGGGCACTGCCTTCCTGACACCTCCAGTGATCAGAGCCCTTCTCAGATGGGACCTTCTTTACCCGCGGCCCTGGGGCCCCTGAGTATGAATTTGGGGAAGACTGGGGATGCCCCAGCGGGCCCCGCCCATCGCCTTGAACCAGTGGGAGGGTGGTCCAGGCTTCTGGGTGTGGAGGGAAGGGCAGAGGTAGGGCAGGGCAAAGGCACATGGGGCTTGACCTGTTTGTCAGAACTGGGCCGTGAACAGACCTCACCGCTGCCCCAGGCTGAGTGATGGGCCCTGTAGAGGCAGCCCAGGCTCTTGCAGCTCAGAGGGCTGAGCCCGGAGGGCTTCTTGGAGGAGGCCCCGCAGGAGTGAGCCAGTCAGGTGCATCAGAACGGGCCTGTGGAATGGAGTGGGGAGGAGAGGGCTGGCCTGGAGCCTGGGGAGGTGAGTAGGGTAGGGTCAGACTCTGAAGGGCCTGGAATGCTCGGGAAGGAGTTTGTGCATTATATGAAGCCCCCCAGGCTTTCCCTGCCCTTTGACCTGGCCTCCGTGGGAGTCCGAGCGTCTGCTCACCAGGGCTGCTGTGAGGCCCGGTGGGGTGGGGGCGCCTGTCCTCCTGGCCCCGGGGGAGCTCAGGCCCGGCACCCCAGCCTTGCCGGTCCTGCCCCACCGTGTCACGGGCCCCTCTGCTCTGCCCACAGATGGACACTCACAGCTGGCCTCTGCTGCCGTGGACACCGTGCTGGCCGGCGTCCCAGGGCCCCGGGGCCCCCCTGGCCCTCCAGGTAAGCGCAGAGGGCAGCTGCACAGCCTGGCCGGGATTGCCCCCCCCGCCGCCCCTGCCTCTGGGCCTGGCCTGGGCCAGGGGCTCTCGTAGGGCCGGTCAGGGGCCCGTGGCCTTGGCAGGGTGCTGGGGATATGGGTGTGTCCACAACTCACCGTGTGGCCTGAGGTGAGTCCCCTTGCTCACCCCTTGGGGCCCCAAATGTTTCTGCCAGGTGCCCAAGTGAAGCAGCTCAGGGCTGCCCCCATGTGGGCCTGAGTGGGGGTTGCACCGGGGTTCATGGAGGCCCAGGCCCAGGGGGAGGCAGGGGGTGAGCTCAGGGGTGGTCCAGGAGCTGGCAGGGCAGGTGCCCGGAGAGGCAGGAAGCCTGGGGCCTGGTGGCAGAGACCAGGGGCCGGGG